TTAAAAAAAAAAGGAAAACCGAACTGTGAAGCATAGGAACAAACTTGACTTTTCTCAATCTTTGATGCCACTGATCAGAAATCGTGCTACAACCAGCTGCTATTACACTTCCCAACTCCTCTGGTATTAGACTGAAAGAAATCTTAACTTAATTTTAACCTGTAAACAATATAAATTTTAACAGTCTGGTCATTGTAAAAAACAATGTAAATCTTGATGTGTTTCAGGTCCACAGATTGGAAATGTCATAATGCGCCTAATACAATTAACTGAAACAAGACACCCTTCATCACCTGGTTGCTCAAAGAAATTCTACGAGACTTTCAAAGTGCAGAAGATTTTTTCAATCCAAATGCAAATCAGGTGGTTCAGATTCTCATGATTATATTATTTGATGCGTAACTGCAGTTTCCCAAGACCAGTTTCAGTGTTAGCTTGTGACGAGGCTGTTTGAAACCTTCCTTTTCCAACTTCAAACGCTCTTTATAAGTTAAAGTCAATACAAATATAAAAAGGAGATGGTGCTCTAACTTTAATGACATCCACAAATTGTACATTATTTACAAAAGAAGCATAGATTCAACAGGGATCTTACCTGTCCTCAGCTTTCCTAAGCCAGCGCTAATGCTTTACATTAATGTAGTGTAGTTAACGCTTTGTACACATATACAAAGCTAAAGTCTGAACCTTTGAGGTTAATCCAAAGAACTGTGTTTATTTGTCACATTTCTATTAGATTTATTTATTCCAACAATTGTATGGACTTCTCGTTAGCAGTTAGACTCTTCGTACTTGGACTGGCATTGTGGTCTGAACATACTGAACTCCAGTTCTCATTGCCACTGTCCCAGCAGAAGGACTTACCACTACAGGAATGGTCTGTGGATTAAAACCAAGAGAAACACATTGTTATGTTAAAGGTCACATAAACATGACCACAGAAAGAGAGATTTATTTTCCAGGGAAAATCCAGAACAAGTTCCAATTTTGTGCAAGAATTTATACCTTTATTACCGCAGTATTACCTGATTCCAGGGCAGAAAGTAGGGTTATTACTTTCCTAGAGCCAAGCGTTTTTCTGCATTATTACTACTCCTGCCTAACTACAGGGACGGGTGGTCCTGTCAGTACTGTGCGCACTCTGTCTGTGCTCGGAGACTTAGGCTCTCGTAGTTACTACATCCAGTTATGTATTTTCCCCAAACTAAGACATGGGAAGAGGGAAAAGGGCTACGAAAATCCTTTGTCATTTGAAAAAGTTTTGACAAATCAAACTGGAGTACAAAAATACCCTCGTTTATAAGTATATTCTTGTTACACATTACTGAAGTCTTTTGCCCCAGAAAGAACTCCCCCATGCATTCGGTCTACGCAGAAGAGAACAAAGAACATCCATTTGAACAAAAAAGTACCAAAGTTAACTTTTGCACAACTCAATAACAAAAACATCAGTGTTACTGGGAACTGTCTTACACACCCTGTAAAAATATTAATATAGAATAGACTTTTCACTTCCATCGTACAGAGCATGATTTATAAATCTTGACAAATGAAGTTTCAGGACATCTCTATCGGTGGTAATTGAGTCTACAGATGCAGAGACAAAGGCACAAGGATGTTAAACAATCTGGTCAAGGTCACATCGCTCTGGAAGATCTGGGAAAGGATTTATTGAATCTTCAGTCTCTTAACCTTCCTCCAAAAACGTGAGGAAGTCTAGAAACACCTGTACCAAACAACTGGCAAGTATGATACAATCGCAGCGATGCACGACTGGCGAGCAGACAGATGCATCCGTTTCAGTTCCCGAGGTTTTGTGGAAGAAACGGGAAGGGAGATGTTGAGGAATCTGAAAGGGATGCACAGATCCCCGGTGGTAGGGTGACATGCCAAAGAGAACACGGAAGAAGAAATACAAGTTCACTGGAGCCCCATGTTTCCCCCCATTGTTTTAAGAAACCACGTTAGTGTCGTAGTGGTATTCAGCCAAGATGGTGAGTATCCCTACTGAGATGGATTACAGCCTGGAGCGTTTATCGGCTCCTTTGTGACAAAGTCTGTGCCTTCCAGAAGCCTACTCACTCCATTCCCTGGAATGCAAAGACGATGAATTCGTATTTTTACATTATTTTAACTGCAGAAGGAACAAAAACGAAACATAGAACCAATTTGTTAAATAAATTCTGAGATTACTGCCGTTTTGTAATGATTTCAGATGTGTGTAGAGAGTTCAATGGAAACGGTACCCAGAAGATACACTGGAAGTTGTTCAGAGGAAGAAATTCCTAGTTGGAAACAAAGTGCAAACTGAACCCTAAAGAAGCCATTGTGTGGGTCGCTGCTAGCGCTGCGGGTGGGGAAATCAAGGTTGCCACAGTCGCCTTTGAAATACACACACTTACACACATGAAAAAATACTACGTTTCGGTTCTTACAGCGATCGGGAGATGGAATGTGCGAGACTCCTTAAATGCATTAAGATCATTCCCTGAGAGGTAAATTTTCCACCTCTGCCAGTTTTACACATATGTACATTTTGCATACATATTAAACATGCACTAAGGTTCCAAATTATTTAAATTGCACGTGCAGTCTTTAAAATACAGAGGTGTCTGTAGCTATGCAAGACTAATGCAAATGCGTACAAAGTTTTAAACATGCACAAATAAAGGCTGAAACCCTTCAGACGTTCCAGTTACGCTTCACATAACTCAATACACTTTGTAGTACAGAAAACCAATGATGGGAACTGCCATTTTTCTGCATATTACACAAAACCACCTTATGATCTTACAACCTCTCAGCTACTCACAGAAGAGCCTAACATCTGTGATGTTTGCTATTCGACTTCAAAATACATATAAAACCTTGTTGTTATGGTAATTCAGTCCAAGCAACTTAGGGCCAATGCTGCAAAGGTGCACAGTGCTCTCAGTCGAGACAAAATGAGTTAAAATGCTGCTAGGAATGTGAAAAGTCATGATCCCCACATTTGTGTGGACTAGAACAGCTCTGGAGCGCTGTCTCTAGGGGTGCCCTCGTAGCCACCCGCACACGGCGGCACGTACGCTGCAGCGGGTGGGGGTGTACGCAAGGAGGGAGGGGGGCACGGTCGCTTCTATCACAAGTGAGGCCTCACAGCCACGGTGTGATTAAGGTACGCTGTTAAATTAGTACATAGTTACTGTCATAAATTATCGAACTTCAGTCAGAAAATGAACGGAAGGTACCCACGCGTGGGCTTCTGTGCTGAACCCAGCACCAAGCCAGAGTGTGCCGCTCAGCCACCGGTGCAGTATTGGCCCATTTCCTTTTGGCAGAAGAGCGCCAGCTCAGATGCCATGCGGACTCTGAAGTGAGCGCTGCAGAACGCGACCAGTTGAAAGAAGGGGATATTATGGTGTATAAAACACAAAAATGGAACTCACTTCTGTCCCATCTCCTGTGCCTGACACTAGGGAACTCAGGTGTCCCGGTTAAGCCTTTGATGGAAAAAACCCAGGTCTGATTCCAATGCTGTTTCTCATAATTTCATAACGCTAATGTGCAAGACTGCATGGGAGATACACCACTGACAAATGCATATTTTCTTTCATAGTAACTGAGATGTCACAGGAATATCAAGCATAGCTCAGAATTAATTAAATCTCTTTAGGATACCATAGACAAAAAGATATTTAAAAGGTATTTAAAATGAATTCTATACATTTACATTGATGCTGTGGTCAAGTATATACATGAAGTGGACAAATAACTAACATCATAATGTAAAATGGAAGTCTGACTGTCCTCAGTGCCTTCGCTGTACTTAATGGCAATTTCTGAATCCTTGTAATAACGACTGGTGAAATGAAAGGGCGGAACGTTGCACAGCAAAACAAGAGATTTTGCACTGCAAGTTGAGACTCTACCAGTGAATTCATGTCTTGATAGAACAGCAGACGGAGACAACCCCCCAGAAATACTGAGCAGTTTTAATGCCAGGAACAGTACTACTGCAGACTTTAAATGATGATATTGTACTTACAATTGTGGGTTGAGTAGTTGGAATATAGGTGGTGGTCTGCGGTACCTGGACCAGTTTTATAGGCTGGTTGCTTGTCACACCTGTTGCTATCTGCAGAGACAGCACAGGCAACCTCAGTAGAAGTCTCAGCTTTTACATAAAGTCCACCTAGTTGTTATTATTATGGTAATATGAAATTTATGTTGGATGTTTTGTTCGTGTTAAAAATTTGCATCTGAATGAATTCACAGGTTACTTCTTTGTTAATAAAACAAAATTCAAATTATGAACATGATCAATGTATACAGCATGATGTTTCAGGTAGACCATCTGTGTGAAAGCAATTCCAGATTTGTGTAACTGGAATTTTCCCTGGCAAGTTTTAGGTAATTTATTTTCTCCCGTCCCCTGCTTCCCCAGTAACACAAAGGTTGTGCTGCCACAAACAACGCATACGAACATCGACTGAGCCAGCGCTGAACTAACTTCACCGAAGCACTCGGGTGGAACAGCACATCCTTCTTCCCTCTTCAAATCTGTTTCCCAAGTTACTCCCTTAGATGACATGTCAAGCCCAGAGATCTAACACCAGACTGTAGTAAAAGTGTCAAGAAATGAACACAGCTCTCTAGTTTACTATGCTTCCCAATTCTATAGGACTATCTCAATGAGACATCATGCTGGAATCACAATACTACAAAATTAGTTTGCTTTTAATATTTTAAAATACAACAAGGCTCCTACTGATGTGGGGGATCATGTGTAAGGGTTTGAAGGATCAGCCCCCCCTAAAATTTTTCATTTAATACATCTTGCAAGGGCAGAAGAAAAACGATGCTGAAATTGCTAATAGTCAAGCCCTACCTATAAAGCAGAATCTTCTCTATAAACATTTTCTATATATGCAATGTTAAGTCCCTTTTATTAGAGCATTTGCTCATCCTTGCCTACTGAATACTATCAGAGTAGATGCTATGGAGGATTTCGTAACTGCACACTGCTCCGTTAACTGTAGATCCAGGTGAATTGTTGTATCAGTGTTATGGAACATTGTGGTACCCTAGTGGCAGTCTGTTGTGATAAAGTAAGTTGATTTGAATGCAGGTCTTGAGCTTGGCCTCTGAACCCCCAGGCAAGAAGGGCTTGGAAGTGCTGCAGTCAGTATTGCTTATCAGAAGGCAACTTGTATCGAAAGATCCAGACCAGAAGCTACACTGATGGGTCCTGGAGAGAGAGAGAGAAAGAGGGAGGTCCAGTCCCCTTTGGCTGGAAGGATGAGTCAAGCCAACACAAGGTTTTATTGGGAATGAGTGAAGGGGAAAGGGTGTTCCCAGAGGACAGAAGGAGATTTTTTTTTTGCCGAGATGAAGAAAAAAAACCACAACTCCCTATCTCACTCCCCAAATCACACTCTTTGGAATATGCAAACGGTCATAAATTCCTGGCTGATCCAGGGAAGCCTTTAGGGCTAGGTTTCAGAGAAATCTTACAGATTATTTTTGTTTGAAGTGACCACAATGATACTCACTGTAACACTCTCTTTGCTTTTATCAGCTGAACCTTCCTTTTCCTTAGGGGTGCTGGCTGTTTCCGTGGGTGTAGGCTGCACACTGGAACTGGGCTGGGATGATTTATTTAATGTTTCTGTGCTAATTTCCGTGTCTGTTTCCTGCTGTGTTGCAGTAGCTAAAATAAAGGAAAAAAGAGAAAGTAGCAGCTATTTGTGTGTCCCAGTCCACAGTCACTCTTCACAGGCACATCTGCACGCATGCGAATCAAGACTGTTGAGCCGCTGTGTATTCCACCCACCCCAACCCCCTCCGCTGTGAAACGGGCAGCCCAGAGCGAGATTACCTGACTGCGTGCAAGATTTCATATGCTCAGGCCAGTGAGCTTGTTGGCAGGGATAGTCACAGTAGCTAGTATTCCAACAGCAATAAAAAATGGCCTCTTTCTTGCAGTTAGCGCACCACTGCTTCTTTTTAGTTTCATCCACTGCTTGCTGCTTTTCCAGTTCCAGCTGCTTCTTCACCTCGGCAATCAAACGATCTCGTTCTTGTTCTAGACTCTGACGCATTTCAGCCATTGTCAGTTCTACTCAAAATGCAAAGGAAGATGAGTTTTGCATTTTCCACCCCCCAACAGCAAGGTGCAAAACAATAATTTCCATGAGTTTAAAGACAACATGAAATTAAAACTAGCAATCAAAATATTCCCTCAGTTTGGGCATCTCTGTTTTGTACCAAGTAAACAAACGAAAGTCTTCCATCATCTCTTATTCTGGCACGGTGATTTTTACCCTTAACCGTTACCTTCCATTTAACACTTTAGTTCTAGGTGTCCCACAAAGGATCAGAATCCAGGTGTCCTAGCTGCAGCACAAACACAAAAAGGATGCATGCAGCTGCTGCTAACATACTTTGTCTTTACAAGCCCAAACTTTTGGTCTGCTCCAATATTCAGAAAATATAGAGAATTATATTTCTTCTCTTTTCTCATAAATAACAGTGAATCAATTGTTCATTTTATCTTAGTGTCTTTACAAAGAAAAATGTGAAAGTTCCAAGAGGGACATGGACAAAGTTGTAAGAACTCATCCGCTATGTGAATAAAGCTGTAAATCTGAGCCTTACTTCAGATTGCTCCGAGAGCCACCCACTATTAACGCAGTTACGAATTGATACCTCAGTCACTACGAGTGACTGTGAGCGAAAGAGCTTGACAGAATCTTCAAGAAAGTCGTCAAATACAAACAAAGCCACCTTGACTCAGGGTGAATCTTTTGAGTCTTCTGAAAAACTCCAGTTGACATACTTTCAAAACACCATTAAAGGTGTTTATTTAAATCAGTAGCTTAAGACTGGTGACAAAGGGTTTAACGGATTTTTCCTTTATTTCTGAGCACACCTAAACGTTCAGTTCTGTGAGTTGCAGATGAGTTGTTGCCATACCCAAGGAATTCTGAAGATTGCTATAACTGGGCTGCAGCAGTGGAAAAACTGGTCTACCCTGATGTGACAGAGCAAAATATTACTAACAAACCAAAGGCATGAGTCTGAATATGGAGTTACTCAGCCCTTAATGCATTTCCATTCCAGATACGCTCTGCAAAAAGAGAGTCAAAAAGTGGATGAGGACACTCTTACACAGCCCTAAGGCTGTTTGGACTGCATGTAGCTGAAAAGAGACTTGATTACTCAACTGCAACCTTCTTCCCACTGCCAGTGCATTAAATAAAGATAATTTAAGAGGAATCACATCTTAATCATGGTTTCATTTCCCGCCCATATGGTTGAGTGAATGTAGAGATTAAGATCCTCCTCCTAGGAGGAATATTATTTTATCTGTTTAATGTAGTATTTTGAATTTATTTCACTGACAGTCTGGCATCAAGACTGAGTGAATGTTGACTATTCACTTTAAATAAATAAGTAAGTATGTGCAACAACAGCTGATCTGAACCAAACCGTCCGCTGCAGTCTCCAAAGAAACCAGAGGAAGCATGTTCCCCCAGTGGCTATGTTAACAGAACCTGGTTCATATGAGGATTAAAATGAAGTAATCAGCATAAAATCTCATGAAGAGGAATTATCCAATTATGCATAAAAAAAAAAGTTATTCTCTCCTATCAAAAGCTCTCTTTAGCCTCAATTTGTCTCAGAGGGCTGAGCACCTGTCACTACACACGGATAGAAGTAGCTTTGTGTACATCCTCAAAAGGTGTCCACTAACGTCAGCACAACACATTATATAAGGTTTTATGTCCTTCACTTGGACAATTTGCAGTATCGTATGATGGAGGTAATACATACTACAAGCATTTGCACTGATACACTGGTTTGGACTGCCATTTCATACCTAGGTTATGCTTCATTTCTGAGAGTTCCTGTTGATGTAACCATTGAAGTTTTTCTATCTCAATCCTCAAACGCCGAATCTAAATATTAAAAATTTAATAGTTAGTAATAATAAACAAGGTGCAGTGTATAATACATAATTATTATACAGAAAACATGCCCAAAGCAAAGAGGCTGATCATCACTTAACATCAAGGATCCTTCTTATTAACATGAGGACAAGACCATAGTAAACCCAAACCAAAGTCTGAAGTATTCTAAATATTTGTTTGCTAGATTTTCCTACCATAAAAGCACAAGATTGTTTGAAAACAAAGAGCATTTCTATTAAACTTGCTCTTGCTTCCTTTGAAATTAGTCGAGTCTCAAATTTCTCTGACTGGAATCAAAAACCCATTCCCCAGTTTTGCTTGCATTTATTAGTATGACTTGTTTGTTTGTTTGTTTAACTAGATGTGGCTTAGGAAAGCATTTGTTTCATTCCCTGTGGATTGGGAATACAAATATTATTGCTCAAAATTGCGACTTCCTTATTTAGGTTAAAACAAGCAAACAAACCGTCACACTTTTAACTCTGAGCTTTATTTGTTCACATTTGTACTTAGTTTACACTGTTTAATCTGCTTTTTCCAAGTCTAAAGAAAACACTTAAAAGATACTAAGTACTACGTTTGGAGACAATTAAAAGCAATGCATAGCATTTCATAAAAAATGCATAAAGTATTAAAAGTATTTAAAAAACCTATTAAAAACTATGGTCATAATCACATAACCGGGATAAGCTACTGTACTACAAGTAAATTCAAATCTTCTTCCTCCAGCGGACAAATACATGTTTTTAAAAAATGATACTTTCAAAAAAATTACTTCATTTCTGATTTTAAACAAGGTGATACGAAATTAAATTCTAAACAGAAGCTTTAAGGATCTGGGCTTGATGGCCTACTGTTCTTGCTGCTTATCTTACAGTGCCCATCTGATGTTTTGTCAGTGTTTTTCTCTACCACTGTAATCATTACTTCTAAAACAGGATGGAAATTAGGATCTCCGGAGAGTCTCAATTTATAATACTTTTTAGGTATAGTTATATGGTACTTTTATATATAAAAGCACTATTTTGCAACGTTCAAAGTTAAAATACAAGCAGTGTTTTTTTTTTAAAATCTTAACACTCACCTCAGCTATTGTACTTCCAGTAGTATTTTTTGAAAGATCATTATATATTTCAGTCATTGTTCCTTTGATGGCATCCATCATCTGAAAGACGAAATAAAAAAAGAAAATTCTGTGATATGTATTTTTAATAGACACCCACTTTCACTTCCTTTCAACCATTCTGATGTGAACTTACATTACTATCAACAATGCCCCGTATCACACTCTGTATTTATCTGGGTCTACTTTTAGAGGACTATTTAGAAGGTAGAACACAACATTTTTGATCAGGACTCTGATTTTATGTGTCCTGGACTGGTGAACTGCTTGACCTTCTACTTTTCCAAGAAATTGCCATTGATGTAATTTACAAATGAAAAAATACAACCATGGGTTTGGGGAAGAAACTCAATTAAAAAAAATAAAAATAAATTAAAAAAAAAAAAGACACTGACATTGCTGACCACTGGCAATCCCACCAAGACCATACGGTTGAGTGAGAACATTGAAAGTTGATAGTCAAGATTAATTCTGGTGCTTTTAATGCCTGGGTATTCAACTTTATTTCCTTATATAATATTCACCTTGATTTTTCTAATTTAGCAATCTAAGACAGTATATGAAAAACTAATGTCCCATCCCTCACTGTCACTGTTATGATACAAGTATTACACCACATCTCTCTAACAACTTTTAGCTTCTGTGTTAATACATGAATACACACTTATGACGAGTTACCATCTGATGAAGCTATACAGTGTTTTAAAACGAAACTACATTTTTGTGTATGTATTACTGGACACAGATGAAGAAATACTAATATTTACTGTAAACACGATGCTGAGGGGATATCTGCACCTTTAGGAGAAAACACAGAAAATGGTCCAAAACACAATGCAAGGTAAATAAGAAGCAGCAATGGGTAACATGAGAAGGAAAGGGTCTAAAGTGTCTGAGCAGCTGAAGCCTATCATATACACACTCTGGCTTGGAATGGCAGCATTCAGCCAGCTCTAAAAAGATGGTTCAGCACTTTTGTCAAAATCTAGCTGTTCCTACTTAGTAGAACGAATTTGCAACATATGACAACCTGAGAATGAACTTATTTCAGAATTTGAAATGTCAAAAATGTGAAAGTTCACTTCCAAATAAAATCTCAAGAAAACCTTGCTCAAGAACTTACTTTGCTAGTATATTTAGCAATATCTGCAGCCACATCAGCTGAAGCTGTTGCAATTGGCAGGTCTGTATTAACTGAGGAAGAAAGAGTACTTGCAGATCCAGAACTGGTAACCATAGAAATAGGTTGAGTACTTGTAACCAAGGTTATAGTGGATGTGGAAGTGCTCTGGGTGATCTCTTTTTGCTGCACAGCTAAGAAAAGAGAACATACAGCGGATCAATCACAGAAACAATTATGAAAATAAATAGGCAAACTTCTAACTTCAATGTCTAACTTAAATGTGCGCACCAAACCATTTCAAAGACTGACATTATTTATACAATGGTGCCATTTAATCAATTAATTATACAGTGCCCAGCCACTGAACTTGTACATAATTGTAAGGCTTAAAGGTAATGAAGCAAATATATCTTTGAAACTTACTATTTTAGACTGGCCAATGCAAAAGTCTCCCTCAGATCTGTTTTTCTCCCACTTGGGGACTTTTCCATCCCACTTCCTAGGAATTTACTTCCTAACCTCTCAATTTGGAGAACTCCCAACTAATACCATATGTATGAGCATAAGTTAGACTTTGACGTTTTCATTTGCCATAATTTTGAAACAGATTATTGAATTTCTTTTCTTTTCGCTTTGAAACAAGGTTTAGTGAGCCACTGTTGAAGGAAGCCTACTTTAGTAATACTTCCTGGTGTTATTCCCTTTCTTTTGTTATTAATGCTACTAATTATTATTATTAGCGTTGAGACATGTTTAATATACATATATCCAGATCAACATTAGCCTTTGGCTGGCTGCAGAGCAAGGAACGTGACATTAGATTAACTCGTTAAAGCAAAGAAGTTATTCATAGTGTTAACTCAAACAGGATAAGAAAAGCTTTGTCATCTTTGGTCAATATTTCAAATAATCTTAAACAGTGGGTAATTAAAAAATGAGAGTACAAATCAAAATGCAAAGACCCTCACCTTTTCATCCCTAATGACTTATCTGCCTTAAATATTTTTAAAAAAAAATTTTTTTAAGGACAATACTTTTCAATCTATTTTTAATGATGCATATTATAAAAGATGTCTTCATTGGCAATATCCTCAAAACAGGAATTACTAAAATAAAAAAGCTATTCAGTTTATCTCTATGTACTATATTTTTGTTTATGCCAATTCAGTGTATAAGAAATCTATAGATTTTATAGTTTTCATTTGAAATATTTCTAGAATGTAATATTTAAGATGAAACATTGCTATGATGTGCTCAATAGTAAATACGTTGATGAAACAAACTCATAGCCTGAACATTTAAAGTTCAGCCCATATTAAGCTCTTATACTAAAGTATGATTCTATTAAAAATAAGACTTCACCAAGCTTCGCGTTTATTTTTCTCACTGAGTATTTCTGTATCACATTTGTGCAGTCTACAAGTAGAAAGATACTGCTTCTTCAACACTTCTTAAATGACAGTCAGAAGAGCAGTTTGGGACCAGAGAAATGTGCCTCTGGTGAGCGTTTGTATGTGACCCACTACCTAAACCTCTCTTCTGTCTGAACTTACTGGCTTGCCAGCAGTGTTTGCAGGATGGAGAGTACCTGTTCATCAGGCACACTAGTAAACAGTTCAGTTTATTAACTTGAAATTATAAATGAAGCTAAATTTACATAAAGTTGTTGTTCTGTGAAGTGAAGCAATAGAAGCATGGGCTTATATTACCACGTGCCTAGTACTAGCGAAACCTCTGGCCAAGGGATGGTAAGAAAACAGTTGTGAAAACATTCTAAAATGCCGTGGCTGTTTGCTCAGTAAACTAGCATCCAAGTCTTGTTAAGAGTTAAACAACAGGGATTTCAAAGACAAATGTGGCCTGGGTAATTTCAATGTTGTCAAATTATACTCTATGAAAAACCGTACAGATCAGCAGCTTGTCAGATAAAACTGGATCCAGTTTGTAGATATTGAGGTGATAGTGGAAATCATGCAAGTGGAATAGTTAATGGTTTTATCATATAATCCAGAAAATAATTCAGTTCCCTCTCCCAAATCTGTGATGGCTAAGAATGGCAAAAAAATTTATACAGGTACACAGAAAACCTTTTTGTCATTAAAATAAGGAGACATGACTCTAAATACACACCAGAAAGAGCAGGTATGGTGAGTAAGTTGTTGTATTTTAAAGTCACTTATCAGAGGAGAACCACACTTTGAGATTTTGTTTATATGGAAGAACTCCTGGTTAGGCAGCCTTGGAGCACTGAGATCACTACTGGGGAATTATGGCATCACAGGCACATTGAGTTAGAAAGTGTGTACCTTTAACTGCTTGTCTTGTCTGATATCTTGTCCCTTGAGAGGACTGAGGTTGCTGTGACTGAGACTGCTGGCTCTGCTGCTGTTGCTGCTGTCTCTGCACCTTCTGCATGTGCCATTTCTGAGATGACGTCTGAAATTTATTTGAAGAATTCCACACTACACGCTGCACAGCAGGGGCAGTTTCCTTAGGCAGCAGAGGCCTCTGCTTTTTCACAGGGCTTCCAGTGGCTGCAGATGGAGCACTGACAGTAGAAGAAGCACTAGTAGTTGCTGTCACACCAGCTGGTGGAGTCTGGGTTGCAGAGCGGGTAAGTACTGGAGTTTCTGGTAGAGGCTGGCTGCTTGCACTGGAGGAAGGTGGAGTTTTACCTACAACTAAACAAACACAAAATGTAATGCCAGCTTTTCACCCACGCATCTAATTCATCATTTTCCATCTAATTTTTGCAAGAGCCATATGCACCTTCCAGTCTACTTAGAATTATTTTCCCCCAAAGGTAATTGATACTCTACAAGTAAACTCATTTTGATATTTTACAAGTAAACTCATTTCAGTGTAGTTGAAGTTGGTGGCAATTCAGAAGTACTAGCCATTAAGCAAAACAAAACAAAAGTACAAACCCCAGAAAACCAGCCTGACCTCCTTTGGAAAATATGCGAGAGGTTAGCATTTGTTAGGGTGTTTCTGGGTTACCACTTACACCTCTCATCCCAATTTTCTTCAGGAGAAAAATACATTCAAAAGGAACAATAACTGAAGGAATAGCATACTAAAAACTTTCTAAACAAAGGTGAACTGGCACTGACAATGAAATATACAATGTATTTAAGATATCTGTATTTACTCGAAAATCTTCCAGAGTTTATGGTTGACTGTTCCACATATCAGATCAATTTAGGAACTGGATGATTCTTCCAAAGCTGTGGCCAGGAAAAATATCTGAAAGAGAAGGCTGCTGCATTGACAAGTTTCTGGAAAGGTGGCGAAGACCTTCAGATTTGCACGCATCAGATCTCTTTTCGGGACTGAAGCGTTTTAATATCTGATAGCCACAAGTAAAGGCAGGGGCCTTGGAATCATGGGCAGGACGCAAATTATGTCTAGAATATATTCATATAGGCCTCTCTATGTATATTTGAATATTTAAATCCACTTTTAATTTCACTCAGAATATGTATTATTCTTTTGCCTCTATATCAAAGTAAACTTTTAGGATTACTTATTATTTCAACCATCACTGGTTTAGGCCACTAGTAACACATGAATCAGTGATTTTGAAATTCATAAAGTTGCCTTGCTTAATAAATTTTTTAAATAAAACAAGAATCAGTCAATATAAACTCCCCAAAATTACAATTCTGTGTTTAGTTTATAAGCCTATTTTCTTGATTATCTCATAATAACATTTATCCATTAAATTCTGTTTTAAGATTCAAGATTCAGAAGCATTAAGTTGTCTTCTAAAGTATGCTTAGTTAACTGATTGAAAACATTGTTTTAAATAAAATGATTGAGCCAACATACTATAAAATATAGACAAGAAGAGAAAGTTCTATGAAAAATAAAATTTTTTTCAATCTAACCATTTATATCTGGTTTTCTGTTTTGTTTTGTCGAAAGGCTAACATGCAGAACAAGCTTAGCAAAAGCACTGTACTCATTAATTGAGATTGCTTTCCTCTTTTAGCAACACACAGAAACACGGGACAGTATCTCAGGCACCATACATGCGATCCAGCTGTTCTTTTGATTATTACTGAGAGCATTTACATTGATTTCAATGGGACCTTATGCAATTTGTATGCTTCATAAGTTCCAGCTTCTTCTGTACCTGCAATTTTGAGAGGTCTACAGAAATGTAAAGATTCAACTGAAAGTCATAACAATTGCAAAATAAATTCTACATTTGTCGCAGAACAAATATTACAGATATTCACAGTTCTACACTGTTGAAAGGAAACTCAATGAAACATATTTTATTTAAACCAGAAACTATAATGAAGATTGAAAACTTTTCCATAGCCACAAAGAATGAAAAGTCATTCCTAAAAATTGTTTTAGTACAGATATTTTTACCTCAATGCAAAAAGAAAGGTAACAGCTCTGGCTTTGATAACAGCCCTACAGAACAGAAGAAAAGAAGGAAGGGAAGAATTTCATCCTACCGTCTTGTTTAGGAGGAGGTTCTTTAGATTCTTTCTTGGTTTTCCTTCCTTCACGGCCACAATGATCATCTCCTAGATCGATGACGAGTTCGCTCTCAGAATCAGAGTCCAGTCCTAGATGCACAGTTGGAGAGTCTGTTTCATCTTTACCTTTCAGTTTTTCTTTTGCAGGATGCTGTAAACTTTTTCCCTTTTCAGAAAATTCTTTTTCAGTGTCTGTAATTGCCTTTTCTTTGACCGGGTCATCTGTTTTCTCCACTTCTGGACTTGTGCTTTTAAGGTCCTCCTTGTCTTCGTTCTGTGCTGGGGGCTTAGGTTTTTTTTTCAAGCTCAATGATTCTTTGTCACTTCTTGTACCTTCCTTGTCCTCTCCATCTTCTTGATCATTCTTTGATTTCTGATCCTCATCACTATATTCACTGTCACTGGTGTCGGATTTTTCAGAATCTTCAGAGTCACTGTGTTCTACTGCAGTATAAACAGCTTCAGATATTTCATTTATTCCTAATTGTGGGGAGGAAAGTATATTCCATGCTGACATCAGACTGACTGACATTACCAAAAAAAAATACTCTATATACTGGAACAAAGCGTATACATACCATTATCTTAACTGTCAGTCCTTAAGCTATAAACACTTCCCTTAGCGCCCTGTCTCAATACCAGAACGTATAAGAATTACCTTCCACATATTCCAATTCATATTTTTATTTCATTCAGTGGCCCTCCTTTCACTGCTTTTTTCCACTACCTGCAAGCTGTTTTGTTCAACTTAGGACCGATGCCAGCAAATACAAAGAGGAATTCTTTTTCTCCACAAGAAACCACCTTAAAATCAGTAACATTATTTACCTGATGAAAGTTACTTACAGGCACGTTTGCAGAATCAGTTTTAGACTGTGTAAGTTTTGCAAGGAGAATCTCTGGGGTTTTTAGTGCCTAGAAAGTCTTTAATTAAGTTCTAGACAACACTAATGTTTCTAACAGCATTCAACTCCCGTGTGACTGGATATACTAATTTGTGCAAATGACATGAGTTAGGTACAATTCTTGAGCTTTTCAATTTACAAAATTTTATTAAGACTATAATTCTGTCATACTATCTACATCAGAATAGTACAAAAAGAGATTAAAAGATGAAAGCTTTTTGACAAAAATTTGAAACATCAGGTCTCACTGTATTTTAAATTAAACTAGTTCAGTGCATTCTACTTGCCTCAAAGAGTTCAAATATCCTCTGCTCTTGTTTTAATATATAAAATAGTTAAGGTTTTACTATTCAAAAACTTCTTTTCAACTCCAATTCAAAATTTCCTTAAGTGTATCCTTCAGGTGTCCATTGTACTGTTGAGATATACTTACCAAGCTGTGCTTTACAACTCTCTATTGTCTTGTCAAGATTAAGCTGGAACCTACTACGTATCTGTCGTTTTGGGGAAATGAGCTGCACAGGAGTGGTCTGCTGTTGGACTGACTCACTCAACTCTTTCAGATCCATCTCAGCTTTGCTACGATCTAGAAAAAGAAGAAGGAACTAAGTAAAATATTTTACAAAAAGAAGAGAGATCGCTATCCAGATAAGACAAATTTCACTGAGTAACAATGCAGACAATCTGAAACATATTTCACTTCTTTTATAATTATGGGCTAAATAATAACTCTAGAATGACTTTACTACAAACAATGGATGCTTCCTCTCTGATACTACATATTTCGCATGCAAAACACATGCATCAATTAAGTGGACATTTTCTCCGTCAGTGTGAAATTATCAGGAAATCACCATTCAGGTCCATAAGCTGTCTGTCAGCACTTCCAGTAAGCTACTGCTGTTATTTACTACTAGTAGTAATATTTTCACAGAGAAAATTAAATAGGAATAAAACTCCTTATATTCACCATTTAAAACTCAAAAGACAAGTCACGAGAAGAGAAATAAAAACGCGGATTGTTACACTAGGTAGATTAATAAATTTAAGATAAAATAATAAATTTTTCAACATATGTCAGCAAAATCTCGAGCTCTCCTATACATGTAGAGAATTTTCACTCTGAAACATACAGATCTGTCTGCAAAGAGTACAGTGCTAAAGCTAAAACTGTCTTAGCAACTAAGTTTAACATTTTTGCTTCATTTTTCCAATTTCAGAGGTTATGTTGCTGTTCCATAGTCCTATCCTTTACTCTGCCAACAGTGCTGACACTCCATTAGTGCTCAGGGCACTAAACCGTGTGGAGTTAGTTGCTTATTTGGGGGAGGAGGAAGGGGACATGAAGAAGGGGGAAGGAATGGAGAGAATTATGTTTGGCCAGTTTAGCTCCTTCAGCTGGCTCATGGTAGGATGAAAGGAGCCAATGCCATATGCTGGAAAAGGATGGAGGCCACGGAGAAGACAAAAGGCAACACTGAGACAATGCGCATTTGTGCTTCGTTTAGTTTCATTCCACAACAGTTAAAGATGTCACATTGTTGCCTTATTTTACTTTAAAAAACAAACAAACAAACAAACAAACAACATATATTTACAAGACATTTTTTGTTGATGCACAACTCGGAGAAAAGTGAACTAAATACGGAGGGCTGAGCCAACGATTCCTCTGACCAGACATTCTTTGCAAGTTTGAACTTAATATCAAGGCACATTCCACACTTGAAATTTAAGAACCATAGTAAATAATGACTCAACTTCAGCAGTACCGTTGTCTCCATCAGGCTTGGCCACTCCATCTCCTATCAGGTTGCAAACAGAATCTGTATTGCAGATAGAGCAGGTACAGAAGGACCCATTCAAGTATTCATCCAGTTTTTCTTTACTGCTAAAATAGCAGTTCTTATCTCTTCCTAGAGACAGGCAGCAACTTGTGTGGTGCAATCCCACAAGCCAAATATACTGGCTGTAATTTGGATCCTCCGGGCTTGTAATATATACACATTACAGCATTCACAAATTCAGTCTAAATAACACTCACTTGTCCTTTCTAGTCCCAGTGAAATGGTCATAAAAGTAATACTGAATTTCACACTCCTCATGTCACATATTCATACTGGAAGAGACTAAACATAATATAAACTCTATCACTTTCAGTGCAGTGCAAATTTTGAAAATAAAAATGAGGGTTCTAAGTCACTTGAGTACTTTTGAAAAATTTGTTCCTTGTATTGGAAATGTTTACTAAATTAGGTTCCTTCTTCCTGTGCTAACTACGTCACCCAATCCACACTAATCCCACAGCCGTAATGGTTATATCACCCATGGTACGGTATTTGATTCAAGGCCTTCACAGCCTTAGTTAACTACATGGCAGGATACAAACAGAAGAAAAAAACGGAGAATGGGTGAAGATGAAGTCGAGACACTAATATCTCCCCAGGGAAATCTACATCTTAATATATGAAAGAAGTCTCGCAATCCAGATTGCTCTATCTAACCTACAAGTAGGTCTCACTGAGATCTGGATTTCCAATCTGTATCATTAATGTCAAAGTATTAGTAAAAACAAAACAGAGCCAAAGGGCAGACAAGCCCATTGTGGAGAAATCTTCAAGTTCTCATCTCCAAAGTCTTTATGTTTTCTCCTTACCAATCTGAAAATTTTCACTCCTTACTAGGTCAAACTTGTTCTATCTTTTCGGCCTCTGTTATACACGGACAGGTCCTATACTCTCTGGAATATGTATTTTTTCCAAGCAATCTGTGTATAGCTTGGTCATTCATACCTCCGTTTTTCAATTTAGCCAGTCTGCCAGTAACAACAGATGGCTCATTGCCATTATTTTTCCTTCCTTATTGCTGAATTGAAGGATGATCATAGAGTTGTCCTAGCACTCTGCTCAAGGTACGTAAGCGTCTTTGTTTTCTGGACTTTCACTTTTGTTTTTCGGAGAGAAACCCTGTTCATATTATGTATGACAATGAGACACAGTAACTCATATCTGAAAACCATAGGATTCACAGATGAATCTATGTCCGGCACAGCTGACACTATTAAATGAAGAAGCGTTGCCATTTTCATTCCCAGCACCAAACAGTATATTTAGCAAAGGAAACTCCCCTAAAGCTGAAAAAAAACCTGATATTCTACTTGAAAGTATACTAGCTGTTCTTTTATGGTATTGCTCATGGGCCATAACATTGGATTTTCCGATCCACACTATTTATTCAAAATATTCTATGCTCCAGCTGATGTCTCCCATCTGTGGCTCAAACTACTGCAGCACTACATATTTCTTAACGTTTTTCCAAATGCATTGTCACCTCAAATAAGATGACAAACAGCTGCAGTGCAACAGAATAAATTAATTCTATGGTTATGTCCACACAGACAGATTTGCACACTGAAAAATATACTTGTGAGCTTGTATCCAGAATCAGATTATCTAACTCACTGAAAACATGAATTCAGCATTTGAGCTCAAGCTTTCCTGAAGTATTTGGCTAACACCAAGGGGCAGAATCCTATTTCTCCATGTAATACGATGTGGAGGTAAAAAGCAGCCAGAACTGAACCAGAATACTCACAGGAACAAAGCATGACTGAGGAGACCGATTTATATCCGTTTGACTTTCAGAACTATTTTACCAACTTAGTACTTACCTACTCCATCTTTCAACATTCCAGAATCCCAAGATTTACTCCTAGGGATTTTCAAGACATCTGCTAATTCCTTTCATCCATCTATCTCCCTAGAGAGGGATGGTCAGTGAGGAGGTGATGTGAAGGCAGCAAGAGAGAAGCCCTAGTAAATCCTAAATCCTAAAGACCACAAGAAAACCCTGCCAGCAATTCACTTGAGAGACTGAGGGGTAAAGAGCAGCAACGTTCATGTAATTACAACCTTTAGAAACTTACCTACTGTTTAGAAACATTCATTTGTACAGTTCAGCTAAAAAAAAAAAAATCATCCTTTAACTACTTCCTTTCATCAACAAGAAGAAACAATAACAGGAACTTTCATTCATAAACCAAAAAAAGAACAGCATATTTGATGAAACAATAATTACACATGTGCCTCATTTAAAGCCACATACAAGCAAGTTTGTTCATATTACGTTGCATCGACACCACTGTAATTTATCCAGCTATAACATACTAGATTTTCAAAAGTTAAGACTAACCAAGATTAAGGTTCAGAATGCTTCCTGGAGTGGAAGTTCTTTCTTGCTTAGCAGAAATTGGCGTTGATGCTTGAGGAGAGAAAGGTTTGGGGCTGCCTGACAAGCTCCCTGCTTGACCCGTTCTTGTTGGTGCTGGAGAAGCTGAAAAAGTACAAAATTAATAAAGACAGATTTAAAAATATCACAATAAAGCCATATTCACTGGGACAAAACAGCTTTTAAACCTACACAAACAGTGAAAAGATATCCCTTTAAATTTAGTTTAATAAAGAAAGAAATGGTAAGAAAAATAATTTTACTGCACCTATATAGTTGGGCCAAATGTGTGCTTACCCTCAAAACCACTCTGTTTGCAGTGACAGAAAGTTTCTAGCTTTCAAGATTTGGTTATTTTAGATGTTAACAAATTCTGACACTCTAAATTGCTATCTATTTTAATTCATGTATGCAAGTAAACATACAAAACCCCACCTGCCCCATTTTCTAGCTATATTAACAGAGAATTAAAAGTACAAATCATAGTAAGTTTAATCAGTACAGCTGGACATCAGTAACCAAACATCTCCGGTATTGTAATTCATACAGAGTTTAAGCAAAATTCTACGCTCTGAGACTTCAAAAATCTGCATGAAATAATGTTTCAAAAGCAAAACTTCTGGAAGCAGCCAGTCTATAAAGGGAAGCATTGCAGGCCACTACCTTAAAAAAAAAAAAAAAAAAAAAAAAAAGACTTATTTTTGTCAGCAAGAGACTAATTTCTGTCTGTTAAATCTCTGCCTCATGTCTGAAAATGTCATCCTAAACTGGACACTTTTTCTTCCCCAGTACATCCAGGATTGTCTATATATTTTCAGATTCCTAAATGGTAGCAATATCTGCTGTTTCAGTAACTGTTTCCAAGTTATTTTCCACACATCACTCAAAATACACAACAGAGGCATCCAAATAAAACTGTTCTTGTCTAAGGATAGATAGCGCAGTCACACTACTTGAATTACTTTTTACAGCAAACAAGTAATTCAATTTACATTTGAGTTGAAACACACAGATTCCAGTAATAGGACAGCTAAGTTTATACAGAAAGTAAATACTACAAAAAGTGAGTAGTTGTAACAATATACGGGTAGAAATGCCAGCTGGGAAACTGAATAGTCTAGTTTAACTGCTGTTAAGTCCAATCCAGCATTTCTATGCAGTAGGATAGAGGATAGTAAGGCCTGAGGAAAAGTTAGAAGAATTCCCCAGAATTGCTACGCTAACCAAGAATCCAGAGTACCAGGATAACATCTGTCATCTTCTTTTATCTTTATCTGACAAAATAGCTTTAATGTGACTTCCCGTTAATATCTCCACTACTGTAAAGAAATAATAATGTGGTATAACAAAAGCTCTATGTTTTAAGACACAAACCAGTACCTGTTAGCTACACCTTATGTATAAGAGCTGTACACACATACACGTAAGTTATGTGTAAAATGAATTATTCCTTCTGACACATTCTCTACTGAAAAATCCAAGTATTTTCATATATTTAAATTCATACAGTTACTTTGTCATCACTTTCTTAAGATGGACAGGATCATATCAGAAGACACTTCTGTACCCAAAGGCAGTTTCACAGCCTAGCCTTTACTGGCTAGAAAGAATGATATTATAATAAATAAACAAATAAATAACAGCATTTTATCTAAAAATTGTAACGGGACATATTGATTTAGTTTTCTGCACAAAGGCATCCTTTCACCAAAAGCAAAGTTTTAAAATACTCACATTAATTAATACACTGTATCATTTCTTTCAGGTAGTGAGGAACTCTCTTTTATAGATGAAAAAAAATTAAGATAAAGTAGTTTGCCTGAATACCACAAAATTAGCTCGCATTTGGTCTTTGACTACATCATAAGTCTGAAAAGTCCAAATTCTGTGTTCTACACTCCTTTTTCTCTTTATCCACTCTGCCTATAGAACTGTAGTTTTATCATACTTTAGCTACTCAGTTGGGAACACTAAAAATTAAGCTCATTGCCTTGAAAAAGAGCTATCAAATTTTAAATAGAATACCTCCTAATCAGGACAATTCTAACTCTTTTGGTATTTACAGCCACTCTCCATTCATTTTGATAGTTACAACTATTTCCTGCTGTTTAAACTGAAGGGTTTTGGTCACTTTTCAAGATTATTTACTCCTTCTCAACGTGGCAGAAAGGGCTGTTAATTTTTATCTGTGACGCTGAAAGTTAAACCCATCTTTTCTTCTAAAATTTCTTCATAAAATGAGTCATAATACAGTCTGTCTTTAAAAAGTACATGTAATAAAACTAGTGAATTAACCAAGTGCGAAGTCCTGTGTCCCTCCCTGCCCTTTTTTTTTTACCTGTATTTTTCTCAATGAAGTCCATGGATTCTTCACTGGCACTAAAATGACTGGAAGTCGCTTTTTTCTCCACGTCCTGTTCAACATCAGATCCAGTGTGAACTGATGAGTTTGTACTCATTGGTGACCGTGGCATATCCGTCAATGAAATCCTACGACCAGTACTACTGCTCAGCATAGACTTGCTCATTAGAATCTTGGGCGATGCTGTCATATCAAAGTTCAGTTTGATTTTCTCCTGTTTGTCTGTCTTTGCAGTTCCAGCAGTTGGGTTTGCAGGGTCTAATAACATTTGGTATTGATTGTTGGGAGTATATGGTGTCCGGAAAGGTGCGTAATTAAATACTCCAAATTTTCTACGAATGTTGTCAACATAAACCTCCATTTCTTGCATTGCACTATTGAAGATGCTTTTAGTCTTTTTCACAGAAAAAGGAATTTCTTTAGACATGAGGTAGCAATTATTTATTGGAACCCAGGCCCTATATATAAAACAAAAATAAAAGATAACATAACTACATTTCACATTGTGGATTGACGTTGGCAACTTCTGTGCACATACTAATTTATTTTAGCCAAATCATAAAGACATGCATACCTCAGATCATTTCAAAGGACCATCTCTGCCGCCTTCTTTTAATAGTTCAGTGCTTAGTTTTTGTAAGTAAACCGCATATCTTAGATTATCACGAGCTTATTTTACTCTACCCAGTAACAGATAAAACATGAATAAACACTGGTCAAATATGACAAAATATTCCTAATTAGAATAGTCTATGTAACTGTAAGATGACCATAACTAAACAGTCTTTCCATCTGTCATAGTTAGCAGAAAAATATAAAAAGCAGGTCAGGAAAAAAAAGACTTCATAAGCACATTCTTAAAAACGTAATAGTCTATTTAGCACCCCATGTCAGGGTGATCAGACTCCTCAATGCCAGGAAAAGTTCTATCAGTAAGTGTTGGACAGATTTTATTCATCATGAAATGAGGCAGACTCTAAAACCATGCCGTCCGAGATACCAAAATACCAGGAACTTTGACTTAATTATTTCATGGCCCGATACAGTTTTTTTTACAGTACATGTTTTTATAACTGTATAGATTTATATTTTCAATTCATGACAAATCAACTTGTATTCATCATGGCCTTCTTTCACGCAGAGAGTTCACAAGTACAGAAAACTAAACTCCTTTCAAAGCAAAACTGGCATTTTCAACACAGATTATAGTTTCTATATTTTTTCTCTATTTTTTAAATCTGCAATTGCGTGTTTATTCCCATAGTGTTTAGACAACATAAACAACTTTATTGGCCTCTTCCATCTTTAAGAACTACAGTTCTCTGCAGCACAAAACCGGAATTACCTTGCATACTCACCGAGATTATCTATGTATGAATTTTACAAACACTTGACTTGCAGCCTACAGACATCATTTAAGAAACTAAGACTGCCTATGCTACAGTATTATATAGTTTATTAGGGTCAAGGTTCAAACGACAGGATCCAAAAACTTGAAGAGTCTCAACCACAAGAATTTTGTAAGTGCAGCCAAAGACATCCTTTGGTTAAATTCCCACCTGTCGTGTTGGCCGAAGAAACGGGCATCAACTTGCCCGTCTTTATCCCTCAGTGCTTTAGCAGGCCAGAATGGAAAGCCTTTGAGTTTAGCCCAGACCAAAGGGTGGGGATTGCTCTAGAGGAAGAGGCAAAATACACAGTAAGAAAATACAAGCAGTATTACCTTCAAATCTGATAAACAACATGACTTTTTTTTAAATTGTACGTATCACTTAGATTCAATAAAGATCCAACATGCACAAGGCATTTGCCAAATACAGGATTCCATTTTACTCTATAGTTGATACATACATAATAAATCCTGAGAGGACAAAATAAGAAAGTAAGTAAAAAAACAACCAACCAACCTTAAGCATCTCAATTAAACACATTGTAATTGCACTTTTTTTTATTCATTTATTTTTTATTAGTCCTCTCCAAATATGTAGCATAACATAAGTTAGGCTAGGGCCAATCTTTCAAATTGTCAAATTTTCACTTAAGTCCAAGACAGAACTTGACGCATTATACACTTCTACTTAAGAATCTTAAGAAGTCTTCCCAAGTTTGGTGCAGTATTACACAAAACCAGAAAACAGACAACGTATTAATAGGTCACGAAAGAAAAATGAAGTCTGAATTCTCAGATCCATACCTGCAGAAAGAGACATTCACATTTCAGAAATCTTACCCTGAGTGCAAGTACCGCATGCAAGCATAGAAGACCCAGCAGATATCTTATATTTGAGGACAGAGGAGTTGTGAACTGGTTGCTGACACCCTTTACGGTTATTTCTGACTGAACCAATCCTTTTGTGAAAGCATGCAATCTTACAGCTAAACGTCTTGAGATAGTCTGACCCCACAAAGACCATGATGCACAAGCACAAGCTAATTCATAAACTACAGCAGCTTTCCTCGACTCAGTAACCACCACGGGTTTAAATCGATGAGGGGATAACAAGCAACAGTCAAATGAGAACTGCTAGTCTAATGGGTGAGCTAGACTACCGTAATCCTTAACTTACACAAGGCTCACAAAACCAATTTTCCCGTTTTTGGCAAGCAGCTAAATAACATTCCGGACATACTTCAATTTCATTCATCTGAAAAGAAAAAGCAAACAGTTACCGAAGAGTTTAAACAGAGTTCAAAGCGTGATCAGTATTATTATGTCAGCCTGTCTAGTTTGCGAGCATTATTTTTCCACAAATTTGTGGTCATAAATCAAGATTTACTTGCTGTGAAATGAACACTGTTTTGACAGACACCCAGCTTTTTCTATCCCTGTAACATATGCATTCCAGTTAATAAATCAGTCACATTTTTACATCCCTTTTCAGATTGTACGCTTCTGTCCTTTACTCCAGTCACAAAAAAAAAAAAAACATCCTTCGTTTGATGTTGTATTTATTTCAGTGATAAAGAATTATTTATCATAATTTCTTCCAATGGCAAAAATACAACCTCAATTGGGCATTTAATTTCATAATTTATGCAGAACCAAAAATAAAATATTTTCCTCCTTATGCTCATATTATATAAACTACTTAAGATATCAGGCTCAGGTTATACATTCATTTTGTTCTATTAGGAATTGACACATTCTCAGAATTTATGTGAATCATGGATATTGCTGTCAACCTGGGGATGGAGAAAGCACTTCTATAAATATAAAGGGTCAGATCATCAGATAATTTATATCAATGAAATATTGTTCAAATATATTACATTTAGAATAGCAAGTTTTTGTAATACTTAACACTATGGATTGCCACCGAAATAAAATCAGTGCAAATGATCAGTTCAGAATGCATGCAGTCATTTTTGCGTTTATTCAGAGGAATTTCATATTGTTACAGCGAAAGAACCACCAAAAACGCATCTATGAATCAGAAGATGTGGGTCTCTTTCACCAACTCCAAATATTCATTTAGAAGATATGCGTCTTTGCGCAGAATCCATATGTTCACTTCCTTCTCTCCCCTCCCCTCCCCCAGTCTTAATTATAGATAGTGAATATCCTAATGGAAGACACATTAGCAATGCCCTTGCCACAAATCATTCCATAGGCCATGGATATGCATATCTAAACATACAACAGCCTACAAAAATCATAGTTATGCAATACACACATTAGCAAACACGTATTATTTCGCTCACAAATACATGAAATGGAACACTTCAAAAATACAGAACAATTAAGTGAAGTGGGGCACACATACCTCATGCTCACAGATTTTGATGATGACTTTTGCTGTTTGTGTCAATTTGTGATTTCCTGAGGAAACAATAAAATGCTTTAACCAAGAAAATTGTTATTCTAGAATTATGATAAAATCAACGGTTTTTAGTTTTAAAAGTTAACATTAAAGACAAAAGAGAACATCTAAAGAGACGATGTAAAACACGTGTATATATACACTCCACGCTTGCAAAAGCAGATGGTAGGCACTTTTCTTCTCAACATAACACCGTAACAATCTTTAAACGTTTCTCTGTGAAGCCTACTGCGGCCTACCCACCACTGATACGCTCTTTCAGTGCGGGACATGCTGTATCCTCTCCTCAATTAGGTCTCCTGTAAGTGCTGCACAATTCAAAACATGGAAGCAACTTGGGGATTGGAACCAGATGACCTTTAAGGTCCCTTCCAACCCAAACCATTCTATGATTCTAACTTACTTGAAATTTTTTTAAGGTGGAATGAGCAAGTGACAGCAGGGGCTGTATTTGGTCCTACAGTTTTATGTATGCCAGTTGTTAAAAAAAAAAAATCTGTTGTGTTTTGGCACTACGGTCATTAACAGAAAGATACTTTCGGCATTTGCCAACTACAAGTCTACAAATTGCTCTATGACTTTAACTATTTCAAAGTTTCTTATTTGAGGACGTAAGTACATATTAATACTTACCCCCATTGTAAATAATGCAGTTGTGCAAAATCCATTTGGCATCAGCCAAAAATGCTTCAGTGCAACCGTACATTTTCTTTTTAACATTCTGTAAAGAAAGAATATAGAATGAATCAGGAAACAGAAATGAGTAAAGGGACAGCTTCTTCCTGAAAATTGTTTCCTATCAGTCCTACAATTAATAAAACTGACTACTTATTTACTGTAAGACTTGTGATTCTGAATACTTAAGAATCTGCCAAATTCAGGGTGTCTTTTGACTGCCCTGAAAATGTATGAACCGTCTAAATTAACTCTAAATAATGAATTATTTAGATCAGCATCTTTAACATTTCCAAATAAAGTGTTCATTTCCTGAAACAGTGTTCCATTCGTTGTCTCGTCAGAAAACCAAGTCCTTCATTTCTTCTACTGACATATTACCACCCTGCAGCATTTTTATTTCTTAATTTTTACAAGACCCGGAAAAAATTATTGGTCATAGTATATCAGACAGTATGTTTGATATTTCAGTCTACCCACTGGGTAAAGTAATTCGATTAGATAAAATCAGTCACATGGATTTGTTACACCTTTATACCATAAAAACATCAACCTCCACTGTAAGGACATGGAGAATGAAAACTTGCTGTCTCTTCACCAGGTCCTAGCAGAACAAAACTCCGCAATGCTTCACTCTTCATTAAGCAGTGGAGAATGGAGAACTTCTTCATGATTTGAAACTTTTAAACTATTATTGAACTGAGAATGAAAATCCCATTATCCACCTCTTGACTGTTTCTTTTTTTTCTTCCACACCTTAGATGCAGTGGAGATTACAGTATTTGTTGAATGTAAATACGAGTAAAATGAGTCTGGAAAGACCCCTGGATATACACTCAAATGGTCCCAAACTAATGGACCAGTGATCCATTAATAGCTTACATGATGACCAAATGCAAACTCTGGTTAATGAAGTCTCCCCGCAGGATCATTCCTGGAATCAGATGAATTTATACAGCAGGAAGTCATCAGTGTAAGCTTGTCTTTTTCATACTGTTTTTCCTGAGCATTTGTTACTGGTTCAGACAAAACAGTGGACTTGTTAATTTGGCATATGATTGTTTTTAAGCTGTAATTGAACTGGCATTTATAATAGCAAAAAAAAAAAAAAAAAAAAAAAAAGCATCAAAATAATTTCAAGCAACCTCTCTCCCCCTCCCATCAAACACTCCAGAAATCTTAATGATAGCACTCAAACTCAAGGAACCTTCCTCGCTTAGCTTCATACAAACCTTCTCTAATGTACAAAGGTCCATTGGATGAAAGATATATTCTGCATAATCTGGGTGTTGATCCAGTGAAACTGGCTTTTGAAATGGCTCTGTCTGTTCGGAGGGAAAAAAAAAAAATATATATATATCACACTTCTTAATACTGAACAGTTTCAACAATGACACAATATTCATTCTTTTTCTAATACTACTTCCAACTGTGATGTCAGAGAAAACTCTCTAAAGGTAATTATAAAATTTTGTGAGGTAATAAAGTACTGGCAGAACATGAGGAACTAAAAGGTCTATTTAACTGATTTTTCATATGCTGCAAGTAATGAATTGCAAAAGTTAGGGGTTTTGTAAAATGTACTGTTATTATTTACAGTAGGGGTTTTTTTGTGAGGAGTATCAGATGAGGCTCAACAGATAGTTTTTAGCAGAATAAAGACACTTACTAAATTTCCAATTCACTAGACTCACAAATACTTCTTTTTCAGACTCTCATTAGAATCATAGCTTTCAAAATAATGGTGGCTCAGTAATGCAAATACATTCAAACTTTTACCAGTGGGACTCTACCTTTTATCTGCTAACGTGAAGGGACTGCAATTCTTCAAACACAACCAATTAAAGTACTCAGGTACCAAAACAACAGGTTATTAGTAAAATGCCTAAAGGGCAAAATATCTCAATAGCATTTATTAAACATCAGCTTTCTAACCACATTTTGGAAACACTTTGTGAATTCAGTATAAACAAACACTGACATTTTGCTTCTGAAAAGCAGCACTTAAATCTTCTAATGGCTCCATCTGGACAGTATTTACCACTCCAGAGTAAAACGATTCCAAGAGCCAAAATCTGTCAGTACCTTAGAGTAACCTTCCCAGAAATTGCCGCTATTGTTCTGTTAAAATACTTATCATAGAGAGATCAGAGTTGCAGAGAGCCCATCATTCTGCACGTCTGGTTTTCCCAAGATATTTTACTATAACAACGCAGGCACAGAGACACTCTCCCTGCTCCTCTAACTTACATACAGGAACAAGGAGGCAACAGGAGTTAAGACAACCTTTGGTAATTCATCACATCATATTCTGATGTACAGTTTTCTTCACATATGTGAAAACCAGGCAACGCTTGCATGGTGAAGAACAACTGACCAGAATTGTTGAAACTTAGAAGCAAGAACAAGTGACTGGAGTAGCTGAAACTTTGAGGCATGGTGATTTTGAGAAGTGAGCCTAAGACAGACACATGGAGATAGGTACAAGTTGGAGGAAAACCAATTTTACCTCCGTGATAAAAATTCATAGAAGAGCAGCCTCATATTGCATGAAAGTTAATGGCACAGGTTTTCACCACACTGAGGAAAATTTCTTCAGCATTTTAGAAGTATATGATACAACTAACTTTTGTGGTAAGAACCATTTCTACTAACAGATAGAAGCTAGGTTTTCAACAGGTATAATCAATAATATAACAGTGTCTGTGCCTAAGGTTCCTGCTCATATAACTGTACGGGCAAGAGATCACGTTTCCTCATTCCCCTTGTATCTCAGAGACAGCATTGTCCGCTTTTGGTGAGTGAGAAACCACCACGTCCCACAGGAAAGCCACATTATATTTTCGCTACACCTACTGAAACTATGTCCAGAAGTTACATCAAGAAACTACATTTTAAATGCACTCCAAAACAGTATATACAGCCTAAACTAATCTGTCTGCACTAGACAGGTGGCAGAGAGCACAGAAGCTGTCACATACAATCTGATAAAATAAGCTAGGTTCATAATCCACAAAAGGAAGCAAAACCCAGGATTACAACAATCATATGATCCAAGCATTAAAAAAAGAACAAACAACCCAAAAACTTCCTTACCCCTGGCTGTTTCATTTTCTGTAGTGCAAACTTCAGTAAATACGATAGCTGTTCAATGGTGAGCATTGTCATAGCTTTACTCTGTGTTTCTATGCATTCTGCGACCGTGATTTTCTAAAAGTTAAGATTAAAAAAATATATTGTCAGCAAACATTTTTACGTAAATTCTTCTCCACTGAAACATTCTAGCATTCAAATGGAAGATAATAACTATCTTACAAGAAACAAAACATTTCTGATGATGCAGCATAAGTACTTCAGATGCTTGTTCTACTTGGTTTTTCTTCCAGGTATGTTAATAAAAAAAAAAAGAAAGAAAGAAAAAGAAAGGGAAAAGACCAGAAAATTATCCATCATCTTCAAGATCACGCAAAGTGAATGTGTGAATAGATAAAATTCCCAAACATGATGCAGGTTCACAGCAACGTGAACGAGTGAGAAGGTCGCCTGGGCTCTAATACAATAAGTGATCAAAGAAAAACATGCGATAAACCAATTGCTTTCATTAAAGATACTTTGATGCTAAGTATTCTCTCCCCAGGAATCACTGGAGAGGAATGATTACATTCTTCCTCAGCCCTGCAGAAAAAAATGGTAATAAAATACCCACTTGTTTATGTAGACCCTACAGTGCAATTTTTTTCTGCACGGCTGCAGAGCTGGTCAGCCCACTAGAAGAAGCCCAAGTTAAACTAGTCAAAACTGCAGAACGTATTCAGAATTAGAGGTGCCTGATGAAGAGATCGTTCTCTGAAATGGTCACTTCTCTAGAGATGGAAACACAAAGGAAGTTGAAGACTCGTGGTAAGAAGGTAAGCACAATCCAGGTACACACACAGAAAAAGTGGTGAAGCCGCAATGGATGCCTTCTCTTCTGTGTAAGTTTTTCTGGTACCTTTACCAAGAGGCAATATCGGAACAGACCAGAAACATTTCAGAATGCAAAAAAGCTGCTTATATCGCACAAACAAGAAAGAAATCCACTCCTTATATCAAACTAACCTCACATTCTGGGCAAAACCAATCCCCCTCTGGTTCCGCTGTCAGTTTCAGACACTTAGCATGATAAACCCGAGGACAGAGTTCACAGCAGAGGACTTGGCCTTCCCGATGACAAACCCAGCAATAGAAATCATTCCGTCCATCCTGTGGTACAACATCAACAGGGTCTGTGGTGAGTGGCTGCTTCATATAGTAAAACGGACCATGTCTTAGTTCTGACTGAAATGTAGGCAAGAAAAACAGGTTTGGTTTCAAAACAAATTTGCATTTTTTCAAATAATAATATTCATAATATATAAGCAAACAGCAGTTTACAGAGTTTGATTAACATTTATGCAAGCACAGTATCTTATTCATTGCACAAAATCTTTCATAAAGAGGTTTACTTCTTACTCAGATGCCAAATACCAGTTTATACTCAAGACTGAAAATAAGTTTTTGTGGCAAGTGAGGGCATCGAGTGCAAGACATGCAATCCAACAGAAGTCAGTAAATACTTTTATCTTCAAGAAAGAAGTATTGCTATAGAAGCTACGAGGTCCTCTAAATTCGGAATTCCATGGGGCTGTGCAAGATAAATACTGAGATATTTAGTGGTGGCTAAACCTGGGACAACTGAAGAAGTTAGTCCTGAAACAAGAAGTTGAACACCATGCAAATCTGTCCTAAGTTGCAGCAGTCACAACTTTGTACAACGAAGCAAGCCAGTGCTGATTTTGATTAACAAGGCAAAATGTAGAATGGGACGACAAAGGAGCAAATTCACATCCTGAACAGCCACCTCTGCTACAGGAGCAGGAACACTGGTCCACCATTTAAATGCATGTCAGAATTTAAGACTCACAATCTCCACTGGTTTGCCTGCACTAGAAAACAGCATTAACTTTGTAAACTGCATGAAGTAGTCTTTCCCTTGAGCCCCAGACAGCTCAAAGACGACACAGCTGATGCCAAAACACAAGAAGTGAAGAGCCTGGGATGGCTAAAACGGGTCCCCAGATACCTAATGCTTGTTAGATCAGCTTTGAAGATCTGCTAACATTTATTGGAAAATTATGTTCTATTTAATAACGACAAGGGAACTTTCTGTTTGGTATTAATTATAGTGGCGGGTTGCTGAGGAGGGTGTAGAGGGAAACCACCTTGAGTTTCAGGCAGTTTATTTACTGTGATTTTTTTTTGCTTGATGTAAAACCATTTGCTCATGACATTACTTGTAACTATCCAAATGCTTGCAGTTTGCAGAACCATTTGGTTCCCAGGTAATTTTGCATGGGTCCTGCACCATTTACACATCTGCAGGTTCTTAGACCTGTGAGCTGTCGCATGCCCGTGTGACCCCTAGAACAGTGCAAGCATATGCATGTTCCGTACCTTTGCAGCGTCCTGTACAAAACTGAGTCACACAGGGCATAAATTAATGTCACCAGAAACCACCAGCATGCCAGCGTGGACTGTGATAGTTCTAGATTTCTAAAGTTACAAAGGACAAGGTCTAATTATTTGCATGAATAGAGGACCTTCAAGGTCAAATGAGACGACGCAGAAGTGACAACCCAGCTGAAGATGTTTATCTCAAGAGATACACCAGAAGAGATATCATCTGCAATTATCTAATATTGTATCATATTTTAGGCAAAGAAAGGATGTTACCCACAAACATTCCTAAAGCATTCTGCTACCTAAAATTTCACTCGAATGTCTATCAGTTTTGGTGGTTTTCATTTTCTATTCTACAGATGATACAGCTACTAAAAAGATACTTTGTTCCTACCACAGAAATGGGCAAAGTGTTATTTTCTGTACTTTCTCTCTCCATATATTTAATCATATAACGTGACAAGACTTTCAGAAGGAAGGTTCTATGAGATCCTGTGGAATAAGAGGGCCAGCATAAGGCTTTAACTATATGTCAAATGTATTACTACTACCATCATCCAAACCCAGCGTGAAGAAGGGAAAGTTGCAGTTTACAGCGCAGGAACATGCTTTGTTTGCAGCTATATGCACCACAGCTGTGAGACCAAAATCTCAACGGTGTGTATGTGGAGATGCAGCTCTGGGGCATTTCCTCAACTGCAGATAGAGGAAATTACCAGAAGAATGTAATAAATATCCTGACTTTGAAGTGGGTATAAGCAGTATATCCACACTAACTTCCTAAGAATCAAAGAAACTGCTTTCAGACAAATATAAACCCTGTGCAACTATTCCACAGAAATCAGCTCATAGCATCCAAACGGAACAGAAGTCCATTTTTGCTAGAGCATGAGGGAAATTAATTTTCTGTTCAAGGATGCTTTTATCTTTTAGACATCTATCACTATTTTGTCTAAGCCAAGTTTAAGAACAAAAAAGACCCAAACAAGAAAACTAAAGGACTGAAAATGAACGATTCAGCTGCATCAAAGGACCTTTTCACTTGTTCTAATCAGAGTAAAATGTTTTAAGAGTTTAAATTTCAACAGTTATGAAAAAAAAGCTTTGTTTTCTCAACTAGCCAATTTAAGCTCAAATAGGTGGTAGCTTGTTTTAACGTCTTTATTAGAGTTATTAAGACCTGTAGAATGACATACAAAACTGAAGAAAAAACAACAGTATTTTAGTGCTGTTTTGGGGAGGAAAAAGATCACTATTTATATTCAGTTTAAATTAATATTGAAGCCAGTAGTAAAACAAGCTGACAACTTCAATTACATTATAACTGACCAATTAAGTGTCAGAAGTTCCTGATTTTTAACCTCTTAGCTGCAGTCTACAATTCCATAATTCTTTGCTTGTATTTCAACACTTCAAATACCTGTTGGCACCATTGTGAAGATCTGTTACTGCATCCACAACTTGTAATACGCAGCTTCGTGCAACTATAACTTTAGTAACGGTATCTTGAAATACTCAAATATTACAAAACACTTCGTAATGTAGAATATTAAGTTGGAGGTTTCCAGTGATGATGTCATACCTCAAAATGGATTTATCAGCCAATCAGAACCACAGCTATCAGCTACATTCTACTTTAAACTTAACCTGAGAGCAAAACAAGTGACTGTATGCTTAGCTCACAACTGTTCAGCAGTAAAAGAATCTTTATCAACTTCTGCTACCATACAGAGCAGAGTTTTGCACCTACTTTAGAAACAATCATCTTCAGCCATGCCCATTTCAAATTTGACAAGCAAGACAATATTCAATTAAAAACAACTTGTAAAAGCTAAACAAAACTAAACAGATGATATTTTCTTGCTAACTTGTCACAAATACAGCAAAATAAGCAAGTCTGATTGCTTTTCTTCATTAGATACACAACTTTATTCTATCCTGTAATATTTCAGGTCTGAGATACCTGGAAAACAGAAAAGGATTTACCGAGGGGAACGTATCAAGTTCAACAACTGCAATTGTGTTTTCACATATATTTTTAAATGCATTAATAAAAAGTGGAAATTAATACCCTACGATTCAATTCCACTGTCTGTAAAATTATCTCTATGCTGCACAGTTAGAAGCTCAGACTTCACTGGGGCAACATCTCCCCAGTAAATGTCCAGGATGTAGAGGAATTTATACAGCCTGCAGTGAAGCTCAGTAAAAGCCAAACTGGCCACACGTAACTACACATGCTATTACTAGACCTCCCAATTATCCTTAAATAAAATGTGCTTGACATTGTAGGACTGTTCTCTAGCAAGGCCTGATTTAGCCACAGCCTTTGTTCCAGGACAACTGCAGTGATTAGGAATTTCATTTTCTTTCCTAATCAGTGTAATTGTACCAGGATAATATTTAATGTGTATGCTGTTATACCAGGAAAAAGTGCTTTAAACACTCAGAACTTAATCCTGTGTTTATATGATTCTGGCAAAATACATTGACACACACAGGCACTTTGAAAAATACACAGGCATGTCCTTATTAAATTAGATGAGAAATAATTTCAGTGAGGCTAAAGACTGCTTTCTTGTAATCTCCTCCAAGATGATGCAGGTGCTTTACAGCATTTGCTATTCAATACACTTCATATAATTCTTTCACCTGCATCATACAATGAATCAGAAATTATCAAAGTCTTCTGGGGTCAAGTTCTTCTAAGAACTACAACAAATGTTATAAAATCAGTATTCAGAAGACACTGGAAATAAGGTTTCAAGTGTGAAGACTGAAAAGTAGTGTCAGCATGACCCTTTGATTCAACTAGTTTGGTAGGAGTGCACAGTACCCAGCAATTTAAAGGCAGAGGAGGGAATCTGCAGAGTACCGAGGAAGTAGCTGGACTTTTGTTAATAATTGGCAGTAGGGCTGAAAGCAGGTGAGAGACTTCCACTGACATTATGAGATCTTTCTTAATCTAGGATATCATGCCCCTGAACATTTCTTTTTAATAGTTTTAATTGATAACAGCTATTATTGTTGTTGTTGCTATTGTTATTATATTCCTTCATAATCCTTTTGTTCAAAATTGTATTTATTGGTTATACATCTTATTAGCTTTGTGAAATCAAAAACCAGGACACAGGTGGTGTTTCCCATACAGATGTAAAACAAAATAACACCCAAATCCAATTTATAATGCCAACTCCTACACCCACTGCATTCAAAAATGAATATCCGCTTCTTAAGAGTACAAAAACGGAGCTTCCTAAAGAGGAGAGAGCTCCCCATCAGCTGTCTCTACACCCTTTGTTGTTTCATATTCTAGCATAACAAGACCATGAGTTCTCTTACCTGCTCTTTATTATTACTGTTCAATAGACCAGGTTTCTTTTTCTTTTTTATAGGACTTGTTGATGCGTCTTGTGGTGAGTGGCCATTAGAGGAATGTGGAGGGCTGGGAAACTTCCTTTTTTGTGCTGTGCGTTCGGCAGAGCCAGGATCTATAACAGACACAAACAATATGGTTGAAGAGTGCATCTCGATGAAAAACATTCAAACAAGGTTATGGTTTGTCATTCACACTCGTTCCCTGAGCAGAATAAAAATTCTCAATTGTCTTTCACCCAGTCACTGACAAAACTGGAAGCACAGACTTGCTAGGCAATGCCACCATTAAGTGAATTCTCAATATAGTAATTTAGATTAACATAAAATATTTTTTTCTTTTCCCAGAGCATTCTGGCCATTCATCTCATCTGAATTTTTAGTATCTTTTAAAATATAACAACAATTATTTCTGTAGTTTAGCAGAGTGCTATGCTAAGTTATGTCATACACTTTAAAAGCAGAGAAACAACTTTAACAGTTCCTGACAGCTTTGCTCATGTATTTTAGGAACATAACCAACAGAAGTTAAAACACGGTAAGAAGAAAGTCAGTCCTCATCATTTATTTCTCATATTTAAATAAACTTATTGAAGTATGTCAACAGAAAAAATGAAATTGGCCTATAGTCTGAAAATAAATATGCTACCTCAAATACTTAGTCATTTGTAGTTACCTGCTGAATTGGATTATAAAAAGATAAAATTAAGACAAGACCCCCAGTCTTTTGACAGCAAGAGAGAGCAACAAACAGAAAGTGACATAACTTTGCAGTGCCTCTGGCAGTCAGAGCTCCCACATTCAACCAAGCAAATTACAAGAGCAGTTCAATAAGTCACAGCTTCCATCTATTCCCAGTAACAGAGCTGGCAGAAGGGAGCATCTGCCTGTGTCTCAGTTGCTTCGTGGATTGTCATCTGGGTGTCAACTCAGCACGCCAGCAACTTAAGTAGCCCTGGCGGCTCTGAACTGCATTTTATGAAACATGCACAAAATTCATTAAAAAATTAGAAGGAAATTGAGACATAGCTCTATCAAATGAATATCTATTATGATGATCTTCATGTCTGCTTCACTCCTCCAATTATGCTAAATTATTTCAATTCTTCAAAGATTTTTAATTCATCATTTTTTTTACTCGGTCACTGTTTTGTGTTCATTAGAATATTCAGAAAGAATTATTTACAGACTTAAAAGAGTTAATACACTTTAAAAAAAAAAAAATCACTGACAAGCTCATCAGAACTATCCTAGGTAAAAATAAGAGCATTTGCAACTTCATTTTCTCAGAACAAAATTAAATGATTCCTAATGAATATGGAATGCTCAGCTCAATTACAAAGAACTTACTGACATTTTTCAAAAGAAATAATTATGCAATCAGCTGTAACAGACAATCATAGAACAGCAAAATGATCTTGACAAAATACAAGTGAAAGTTCAACAGAGTTGGTTTAACGTGTTTAATTTTCCCTTAAGCTTTTAATGCATGCAACAAAATGATAGATAAAACCACAGGGATAAGAAGTCTTCAATATCATAGAGGAACAACTGAACCCTCCCCAAAGTCATTCCCGTATTTTCAATCCCCTACTCGCATGTGCTAGTGCAAATGTTTTGTGGCTGCACACTAAACAATTGAGGAATAAAACCTGTCTAAAAAATAACTTTTTTCTGAGTAATTTTTTTCTATGACCCCACGCGCTGCACAGCCACGCAAATGCTTGTAATGCATTCAGCGAAGCAGTTATACCGGATGGGAACATGTAGCAAGAAGGAGAAATACTGCGGTTGGTACTAATGCCACCTTAAAGTTGTTTTTTTTTCCAAACAACAGTTTTTGGCAGCTCTTTGACAGAAGCCAGAGGCACTCAAGCTGCTGGTTGCCATGATCCTAGATCCCTTCCCTCCTGGACCTGTATTCGTTCCTTCCAGGCCTCACTGGGTGATGGGCTGAGCTGCCTCAGGTTACCAAGTCACCAAAACCTCATGGGAACACTTCACTTGAAGTCTCCAATGAGCACCAGAGCTACCAGAACAACCACCAGTAACTGGATCAACTTACCAGAGCATGTCTATTGTCAATGTATTTAAATTAACTATAAAAAGGTCCACCAAAAAATACTGAAAGTTCTCTAAATAGAATAAACCACTGAAAACAGCAACACTTCATATAGGCAGTGGACAAACACCTTTCTCCCCCAAATGCCTCCCGATGCATAAAGACTTTTTAACTATTTATTGAATGAGACAATTTTGTTGAGCTACAACATTCCTCTTCGGGAATGGTTTTAACACATTGAAGGAGTCTTGCACACCATATGGCCACTGACGCTTTCTCATTAGACAGTCGTAATACAGGTGAGCTAGTAAAACACAGTTTAGCTTAAAACTGTATTCAGAATAATGCCCTGTCAAATGGAAAAGAATCAACTGAATCACATTCAAAAGTAAGGTAATTTGTCATTTGGCACAAATCTTAGAGAGTCTATGGCACAATAAAGAACTGGATTAGATTTCCACATGACTTCTGTACTTTGTGCAGATGTGGAGGGGAAA